GTGGAGGCATGAAGAACCATGGAAACCAACAAACAGCGGCAGGGTGGACCATTGGAGTCAGTGTGTTGAAAGCAGGTACAGGAAGGTGATCAGCCTTCCCTTCCCATCCATGACCGCAGCTTCGTTGCACACGGTAGGTCATGGATGCCGTGTGCCCCTGCATGTGAAAGTTCGTGGAAAATCGGTGAAGGAGGTGGCGGCGGAAAACCCTTTGTCCAGGGGTGGACACACACACACACTACTTTCCAAGGATGCTGTGCAACAAGGGAGTTAGGTCGTCCTAGAAGTCAGGCTTTCGAGTCCGAAAACACGTGAAGACATTTCTGTGACCCCGAAGTTTCCGAGGGCAAAATTTGGGCCACCAAGGGTGATTAGAGGAAGAAGGAACCATTCCAACATCAGCAGGCCTTATGTTTTGGAGGAGGAAGGAGCCATTCTAATGGAGCATACCTTTTGTGGGCCAATTGGGGGTCAATTTTAGAGGAAGGAACCACTCCGAGCCGCAAGGAACCAAGACAAAGCTAGGTGCTTGGCTTGTGGACAAATGTGACTAGCAAGAACTGGTCCAACTGAGCTCCAGGAGTGCCAACGAAATTCACTTGCCCGCACGACGTCGACACCCGATCCGGATCTAATTATGAAAGGATATGAAAGGAGGATGTTCCAAAATTCACTTGAACATGCAACAGTTACCTCACTTGCGCAAAAACATGACTAACGCGTGACTCACTTTATACGTCCATTTCGGTTTTTTTGGACATCGAGTTGGTTTGCGGGAAAGAGCCCCAACCACCGGCCGTGCGGCCGTGCGCCAGCCGTTTGGGATCGGTGAGGCCTTGCTCCAGCGACTCCAGAACACCAAGCCCTCCATCGACCCACGGACGTGGGACGAAGAGGAAGTAGACCGTCAGGCGGAGTGGGACGAGACGAAGATAGGGAGGTGGATGTTCGAGGAAGGACCATGCATGACCTAGAAACCTTTTGGACTTTAGGCAATAGCTGAGAGTTTGATTCACCCAAGCTGTGGTCTTTCATTGTTAGATCATGAGGGTCAGGGTTGTGGATAGGGCCAATCCACACCCAGCTGCAAGCACAGTTTCTGAATCCAGCAAGAGCAAGCTCTTTTGAGCGGTTCATGGCAGGGTAAAGACAGAGGAGGGCCGGCCCACTTCTGCTTGCAGCTCCACTTGAAAGTTTCCCAGTTGGGTTCATGGCTGGTTCAATCATGCTAGTGAGCTGCTAGTCGGTCTTCTTATGCTTGAAAACACATGGTTTGCCTCCCCTTTGGCAGGCTTTGAAGTTCCGACTTTCTCAAAATTCTGCCGCGGGACGTGTGCTGAAACTCCGCATGCCGGGAGCCGAGACGAGCGGTGAACGGAGACATGGCGGTGGCGGCAGCAAGCCCTCCGTGCTGTTGAGGTTGCCTTCTGAAATGATACTTCTCGGTCTGAATCTATACACATTATGACCTCCAATGATGCAACAGGTTGGGTCAAGTTGCAGAGTTTCTTGAGGGCGCGGCATGAGACATTCTTGCCATTTGATGTCCAGGCAGCCCTTGTGTAGTATTTGAGGACTGAGTACGGGACATGCATTTATGGAACATTGCCAAAAGAATTGTGCTGATGTATGAAGACCCAGTTCTTATCCCTAAGCCTTTGCATTCGCCTGGGCTTGAATACTTGAGGCCGAACAAGGAGGGCAGTGGCAGGCTACCTAGGTGCGACCGGCCAGGTGTTCAGTCGGGGGGAGGATGTGAGATGCGGATGAGATAATACGTAGTACCCCGTCGGTGTGCAGCATGTTGGCTTTCTTCAAGGAATTGTCCCTTCAAACATTTTGTTCTTGGAGAAACCTGGTGTTGTGGTGCTTTTGTCTTCGTTCCGTGGCCTTTGCTGGTCGGTCCAGGTTGTATGGTCAAAAGTGCATTGGAAAGCGGAAAGCGTTCCCATTCCAAGGGACCTATCCGATGCCAGGATCACCGACCTTGCCATGCGCAGCAGCAACGACAGTGAATGGGAGAGGGTCGTCAAGCCTCTGACCGAAATGGACCCGAAAGAAGCCCTCTGAAGAGCGGAGGAGCTTTCGAAGGGACGCCTACTAATCGATTCCGGCGTCGTAACACCGATTCAGACCCAGTCAGACCCGATTGTCAAGGGGATTTCAACACAGCTGGGCCAAGGAGAACTCGTTTCACCCGAGCGCCGGGATCATGTTTTCTGAGTAGCTCTCTTAAAGGTGTGGGTCAATCAGACCAGGTCGTCTAGGTGATGCCCAGATTTCTAAAGCGAAAGTCTTCACGTGGCTGGCGGCCAGGGTGATTGATCTTCAGAGAACTCCATCTGTTTTGTTGCTTAAAACTGTCCAGATGTGTCGAGGGTCTCGGTTTGTCTAGTCAGTATATACACTCTTTCAGCCACAAGTCACTCAGTCGGTGGGGTGAACCTTCAGGATGTGCTTTTCTCTCAGTTGCTCGCTCCACACCCGATGTCATCTGGCGTCGTCTCACCTGGTTTCACGAATGTGACGTGGTGGATTCCGGAGGCTGTGACGAAAACACGCGGAGTGCGAAGCAGAAGCCGCCACGCAGGGTCATGGTGAAGTATTCAGAATCAGTTCTTGTCATTGCTGAGGAGTGGGAGAATTCTCAGTTTTAACCTGTTTGTTCCAAAAAGGATTTCCACTCACTAATTGGTCTGCTCAGTCTGGTTGGTCTGCTACCAACGGCCTCCTTGGGAGCCATGGATGTCCTGGATGGAACCTCCTCTCCTGGAAAGTTGTTGGAAGATGTCCATTCTATCAGTGGGGCAGTCTAGGAATGGTGTTGATTTTTTAGTTTTGGCAGACACATCATCCAAGTCTTTAGACACCTTGTTTTGCCTGTACAAGTTTGGGCGTCTTACATATTTGTGCACCTTTTCAATTCAGCCTCAGGACCTCTCTGGGATAGATTCGCAAAGCTAAAGTCTACGTCCAGACCCTCGTACAGATTTAGATTTCCAAGAGCATCAATCCACTTTCGGATCTTTTTCAAAGGTTTGAATATATACCAGGACTCGCCGGTTTCGAGGGACCTGGAGGTCATTTGAATCGTCCTTTTCGACCAGGATCACCTCTATGGGTGAGGACAGCGAGAAAAGGCTCCCTCTCATATCATAAGGACAAGCTGTTTGTGCTTTCCACCTTCTTCGCTGAAGATGGCTATCTGTCCGTTTCGGGCCGTTTTGGTGAACAGAGGAAACACGTCACACCTTTGGGACTCCGAAATCACATGTTGGCAGGACCTCCAGAGCAAAAAAAGCAGGTTATATAACTTTTGGCTGAACGCATGGATCAACATCTCCAACGATTGGAATTGGGGAAAGTCCAGGCCAGCATTGCAGGGGAACGGCCAGCTTTTGTTCTTCCAACGTTACATGGGGGTGTTTCAACTTAGGAGCCCAGGCGCGAAATGCACATGGCAAACATGGGGCGTTTCCTTGGTTTCACGCTACATCTCCATGTTTCCAACGCCTCACCGCCGCCGTCTCTCATGTGGCCGTCGTCCTAGACCGGCCGCACTCGGCTGCCGCAGCCATGCCCAGCCGGTCCGGGCCACGGCTAAGATCCTCATGGGGCCAGGTGTAGTGGGTGTGTGTGTGTCGGAGAAGCTCTGATTTAGATAGAGATGCTTGCAAGAGCTTGTATTTTGTGCATACCGGATTGATCAGCTGCATTTTACGTCGAGCAAATGGAGGGTGCCCTATGTGTGTTTGCACAGAACTTCATGGAGCTGCGTGGTGTCTATGTGTCGCACTTTACACTTGCTCAGAGACTCAGAAACTATAGGGATTGCATTTGCTCACGGGTCAATGAGAATTTCTGGGTTGATGGCTGATGGTATAACAGATCTTGCACCGTGGTCATCCCAATATTTTTGTGTTGAAGAAACGGATTCTGCTTTATGAAAGACTTGAATGGGAGAGTTCATGAAGAAGTAAGACGAAAGACTGGCTGGGTTTAGGCACCACGTGAGAAACATCTCTTTTCACGCCCCCGTCACCTCAGGTCTGTCTTTGGCCTCGTCCCCCCCCCGGTCAGGTCGCACTGCTACGGTTGCAACCAGGAGGCCACACGAAGCGGTCTGAACTGGTGAACTTCCTTTTGACCAACACCGATGGGTTGAGAAGATCAAGGCGAAGACCAACTGCCGGACAAGGACGATGTGTGTTCTCCTTGTTCCTCCATCGCTGGGTGGTCCTCCACACGCATAGTGGAAGCACGACTATTCGCCACGGGTGTTGAAAACAATTCAAGTGACCATTGGGACATCGGATATCATCATTCATCCATGCATTCTTGGTAGAAACTCTTCCCGCACATTCAAAAGACCGATAATTTCACCCGAGAAAACGGTCAACGAGCAGGTGTGGCCAGTTCTTCTTCCAGACTTTGAAGCCTCGCCAGGGACCTAGGACCTAGCGCGGCTGCCCCCACGGCATGGGAAGGTGGGACTATGGAGTTCGCTATAACATCTAAGGCAGCCCACTGCCAACTATGCCACTTGATCATCAAAACTTGATGTTCCAGCTATAGACCCGGTTTGTTGTCGCACCAGGTCTTGTTCCTGGCCGATGTACATCGATGCGCAAAGAAGGGATAGGGTGGGAAATGGGCCCGGATCAGACATCTGGACCATAGATATGATATGCATATATATATATACACACAGATTAACCGGACCCATCCGCATTTCTTGAATGGTTCACAGACCTTTGAGCCCTACTGAACCATTGGTGACTAATTTCTGTTGCCTGCTGGCACATCAACTGGCCAAAATTGACAATGGCTTTTGATGTGGCTATCTCTAGGAGGAGCCAATGTCTTGTCAAGATGATACGGCTCATTCGGTACCTTGAAGACGTCACCAACAGGGGAACAAGATCACATAGTGGACAAGGCCAGGAGCCCCTAGTAGCGTCCTTGCTCCTAGAGTAAGGCCAGGAGCCCCTAGTAGCTTCTTGTTTTTAGTAGAAAGGCCAGGAGCCCCTAGTAGCGTCCTTGCTCCCAGCAGCACATTTTCTATTTTTTGACATATTCAAACACTCTGGCAAACTTGACCGCCCAAGGTGCCCGCAGTGTGGCAGCTCCTGTGCTGGCCCAAGACCGATTGGAACAAAAAGACGGCTTTGTTTGGAGAATAACGCCGTCTACAGACCATATCACATCACTCTTCCACCTGTTTTTTTTACGCTCCAGATCACCAGATATACAGGCTATGTAGACCCTTATGATCCCTTATGATTCCTTATCCCTTGCACATCGCTTCCTGATTTGTCAGCCGATGCAGGATTCTAGCACTTAGTGCATCTATGAGGACCAAGTGTCCGTGTGGATTGCTTGAACTCAAGTGGAAGACCTTTACCTCAAATCACCAACAGTGGGCTTTCAAGAAGGACAATATTGAACATATCATTGGATGTAGGCCAAAGTGGGTGATGTAGTTCACCTGCTTGACTGGATGACAAGGGACCCATCCAAATCGGCTTCGTTTGGTGACAAACGCCGACTTCTGGAGGCCTAGAAGAGCTCCCAGGGTCTGTGTGGGCCTTGGTGAGGGAGTTGGTCAGATCGAAGCAATTGGTGAAGCAGTTGGCCCTTTGCAGGAGTTGGGGAATGAGTTTTTTTTGGTGGAAGTTCTGATCGGGGTTGCTGAGTGGTACATAGTGCTAGACTTGGTGTATCTTGATAAGATGTGATAAGCATATAGATAGAACTTATCAAGATACTTGAAGGAGCCCGTTCCAATTTGTCCACGAAGGATGTTAGTGCATGTGCGGTGTGATTTTCGACCGCTGCAGATGTGTTCTGCAATGCAAGATGTCCCGTTGGAGGTTTCAGACATCAATTTTAGGCTCTCACACTTGCTGTTGAGAGTGAGATGGTGATGATGGTGGACCACACTCCGGACTCATTTGCTCCGGATTTAGAATCCCTGTTCATTCATACCAAGAGTAATGGCAGAACCTCACCAGACCACCGCAGAACATGGATTTCGGCCTTCGTTTCAGCGCAGCCCATCGTTTTCTCCCTGCCCAAGGCGGTGTCCACGTCCACAGCGTCCGGCACTTGGAAATGGTTTGGGGTCTGGGGAGAGCAACTCAGAGTTGGTCGACCCGAGTTGCTCATCGAGCAGGGTGTTCGGAAAGCTCACATTGGCTGGATTTCGGGGTGTTGGACTCTTCTGAGAGCATGGGAGACGGTCATTTTCTCGGACTCTTTCAGCATATGGGGCTCCAGAGCTTCAAGTAACCCCAGCTCAACCCGTTTTCAAGATTGAATTCAGAGAATGCCAACACCCTCCACCTCCAAGGCCAGAGGCACCCGAGGTTCCCCGTGGGAGCCAAGAGCTTCGGGATGCACCTTGGAGCGGACCTCCGAGTGGCGCTTGGGGCGTTGCGCTGCCGCAACCAGCGCCCGGGTCGATGGCGCTCGACTTTGGCCCCAACGGGCCGTTTGGGCCGATGGTGCCTGGGCCGGCGCTGACCCCTGTGTCTCCTGTCCCAGTGAGCATGAGCGGCCCTGCCATGGTGACCTGGATGTGCAGACGGGATGGGAGGATGCGTTGGGGGAGCGTGAAACTGTTGGACATGTGAGGGGAAAGGAGCCCACCTTGGTTTTAAGGGCACTCTGGGGATTGCCACTATATACAGATTCCCCACGCATTGTGGCCCCCCCAAAAGTGCTTCTCCTTCGACCGGGCAGCACAGTAGACCTGCTCATCTCTTTGCAAGAGGCATGTGCCCAGTCCAAGCAATCAAGGCAATCAGCCATCCCATCCTAATTACACCCCACATAGTTCCACTAGCTACCTGAACCTCATACCGACTTATGAATTGACTTGCTGGTGTGCAAATTGGTTTAGGAGGTCTCATGACATGAGGTACCCAGAGAATTTATGATCTCATCACTAGTCGAGAGCTCACATACCACATGTTTTCATGTCGATCCATACTCTCCCCCCAGTTTCTGAAATCTGATGGTACGACCAACTTCTGAAATGTCACACCGCCGCACATATCACATAAGTGACAACTTCACTTTTTGGGCGCAGGCCACATGTAGTGCAGCACCACATGCAGTGGCCACAAATACACTT